CGAGAGGCGGCGCGCCCGCTCTTCCCCGCCCACCCTGCCGCTGCGTCGCCCGGCCGAGCGCGCCCCGGGGAGGCTTGTCCTGCTCCGCGCAGGCCGGGCTTTCCCCGAGCGTCGGGCGAAGGCGCCCAGGCGGGCAGCATCGCAGTCCCGAGCCGGGCTTCCTCGGCGGCGGCCCGGGACCCCGTGTCCGGCTCGGAGGTTGCCCTCCCCCTGACTCTGCGCTTCTGGGGCGCCCCAGAAAAAGACATGCAGGTCCGGGCAGCTGCCTGAGCCTGTCTCGAAATCCAGCTTCCAACGCGGTGTCTGCAGCCTCGCCCCCCGCCTTCCCGGAGCGGCTGGGCCCTCCTCGGGGCCACGTTCCCGTTGCCTTCCCACCCCACTGCTCTTAGTGCTGTGGGATCTCAGATCAAAACGGGGCCGAGGATAAAATAATTTCCATGTGCCTCACAGATCTCGAAGTAGCTTAGAGACACCGTGACTATAAAAGAAATTCTCAAGCCCAGAATGTCCAGGATCAGTGAACGCTGAAATCCCCTAAGACTCTGCTGTCCAGTACGGTAACCGCATGTGGCTCGGAGAGCGCCTGAAAGGGAGCTCCTTGGGGTCAGGTGTGCTGTGAGTGTAAACAACATACCGGACGTCTGACATCTTCTCTTAATAAATTTCATATTGATGACATGTTGAAACGATAATATTTTGGGTATATTGGGTTCGATTAACTTCTAAAATTAAGTTCGCTTTTCAAAAACTTTTAAAATTGTGGCTAGCTACTAGAAAATCTTAATTACACACGTGGACAGCACTGCTCTGAAATGGAAAGAAGTTGCACTCTGGAGATAGTAAGGTAATGCATCCTAAATTTAAGTCAGTACAAGGAGGTGCTAGTACTAAATGTTTCTGTTTGAAACTAAATGTTTCTTTAGCCAGGATGAGTTTTTATCGTTTCTCGATTTTCTATGTTTAAACAATGTTTACAATTTCAAGTGATTTCCTTTTAAATAATCCATGACTTCCCTTGAGAGATTTCAGAATTGAATACACTTTTGAAAAGAAATTATTTTGTTATTGTTATTTATTATAGTTAATAGTGATAGAATGAGCTACCTCAACCTACAATTAAATGATAAACTGTAATTTTAGAGAAGTTTAACATGTGCATTGAGAACCAATCTTTGATTTGCCCTTTGTTCTGCCAGCATAAAGTCGGTGGAAGAGAACAGGGCTTAGAAATAAAATTCCCATTGTTGAAAGTTACTAGTTGATAAAGTTATAGGCGGACAGAATCCTAACACTGAAATAATGTTTCAAACGGAAATATTAAAACATCACTATTGTAGTTCATCGATATATTTTTTTTTTTTTTTTGGTCTCAGGCATCTCACCCCCCCCCCTTTCAATAAGAGAAATAAGGGACTTGAAAGAATACTGCCCCAATCATTTAATTTTTTTTTTTTTTTTTTTTTGGTCTCAGGCATCTCACCCCCCCCCCTTTCAATAAGAGAAATAAGGGACTTGAAAGAATACTGCCCCAATCATTTAATTTTTTTTTTTTTTTTTTTTTGGTCTCAGGCATCTCACCCCCCCCCCTTTCAATAAGAGAAATAAGGGACTTGAAAGAATACTGCCCCAATCATTTAATTTTTTTTTTTTTTTTTTTTTGGTCTCAGGCATCTCACCCCCCCCCCTTTCAATAAGAGAAATAAGGGACTTGAAAGAATACTGCCCCAATCATTTAATTTTTTTTTTTTTTTTTTTTTGGTCTCAGGCATCTCACCCCCCCCCCTTTCAATAAGAGAAATAAGGGACTTGAAAGAATACTGCCCCAATCATTTAATTTTTTTTTTTTTTTTTTTTTGGTCTCAGGCATCTCACCCCCCCCCCTTTCAATAAGAGAAATAAGGGACTTGAAAGAATACTGCCCCAATCATTTAATTTTTTTTTTTTTTTTTTTTTGGTCTCAGGCATCTCACCCCCCCCCCTTTCAATAAGAGAAATAAGGGACTTGAAAGAATACTGCCCCAATCATTTAATTTTTTTTTTTTTTTTTTTTTGGTCTCAGGCATCTCACCCCCCCCCCTTTCAATAAGAGAAATAAGGGACTTGAAAGAATACTGCCCCAATCATTTAATATTGTTTTTTTTTTTTTTTTCCTTTTTGTCTTTTTTCGTGACCGGCAACGGATCGCAACCCTCGGTGTTGCGCCCGCACCTCGCTCAGCCAGTGAGCGGGAACCTGTCTGTATGTGGGATCCGAACCCTTGGCGGGAGCGCCACCGCGCTCCCAAGCGGCACACTGTAGCAGTGCGCCACCGGGCCGGCCCTAATATTGTTAATTCTGACAAGTAACACTTGTTTTCTAATGACCTAAATTATTATATTTTTAACTTATGTGTGCCAGAACATAACTTCATTCACTTCTTGGTTCTTTATTTTATTATTGAAATATAATTGATTATACATATTTGTGGGGTACAGAGTTGAATATTAATACCTGTGTACAATATGTGATGCTCAAATCAGGATAATGAATATATTCATCATTATAAAATGTAATCATTCTTTGTGTCCATTTACCAATTTCTTTCTAGCCCCTATTCTCCTCCCCCTTTCCCACCTCTAGTAACCACAGTTCTGTTCTCTCCTTTTGAAATTTCAATATATTATTGTGATTGTTGTATCTTAATTTCTTATTTATTTTTTAGCTCCCACTTATGAGTGAGGACATGCAGTATTTCTCTTTCTCTGCCTGGCTTATTTCACTTAACATAATTTTCTCCAAACGCATCCGTGTTGCTGCGAATGGCAGAATTCCATTCTTTTTTATGGCACAGTAGTATTCTATTACATGTATATATATCACGTTTTCCTTACCCATTCATATGTTGCTGGATATTTAGGTTGGTTCCAACTCAGCTATTGTAAATAGAGCCGTGATAAACATGGGAGTCCAGGTATCCCTTTGACATGATGATTTCCATTCTTTGGGGTATATACACAGTAGTGGGGTTGTTGGATCATATGGCAGTTCTATCTGAAGTTATTTGAGAAACCTCCATACTGTTTTCCATAATGGTTGCACTAATTTACAGTCCCACCAACAGTGTAGCAGGGTATCCCTTTCTCTGCATCCTCACCAGCATTTGTTAATCCTTTTTGATGATAGCCAATTTTACTGGGATGAGATGATAACTCAATGTGGTTTTCATTTGCATTTCCTGGATGCTTAGTGATGTTGGACATTTTTTTTCATGTGTCTGTTGACCATTTGTATATCTTTGAGAAATTTCTTTTCAGGTCCTTTGCCCATTTTTTAATTGGGTTATTTTTTTTTTCACTGTTAAGTGAAAAAACACTGTTTTTTCACTGTTTGAGTTCCTTGTATATTCTGGATATTAATCTCTTGTTGGATGCATAGTTTGCAAATATTTTCTCCCATT